ATTTTTATGACTGTTGCTTTTTGACAACATGTGTGTTGTTTCTTGACAATATGTTTGTTAAAAAAACAAAATGTGTTGCTAACAGACTTATAACTGAACTTTCGTTGTTCATTTACAACAATTTAAAAAAAAACAAAAAAAAAAAAAAAAAAAACAGGGAACGAGGGGCAATGATGTTTCGGAATAGCTCTTTCCTCTTTTGGTCTTACTCCCCTTCCACCCCCCCCCCCCACACACACACATCTCTTATTCGCTCTCCCGCCCTCCGAGCGTGAAATCGATGTGCCGATTCGTTTCGACCATTAATTTCCAGTGTGTGGGTCACGCGGCCGGCACGACATGCGACGGCCGCGCCCACGCCGCGCCTCGTCGCTCCTATCGTCACGAGTCGTCACGCCAAGCGTGCGTGCGCTATTCTCTCTTTCTCTCTCTCTCTCTCTCTCTCTCTCTCTCTCTCTCTCTCTCTCTCTCTCTCCCCCTCCCCCTCTTCCTTTCTGGGCGCGCGCACATGCGTGTTTGTGTAATCGTTCACTCACACGCTTATATAGTCGACGGCGAAAGGATCCTTTTTAATCGGAGCAAAAAGTCCCCATGTGGTTTCGCGATAGCAGCGTAGTGGAAAACTGCCTGGGCCGCTGTGCGTGCGGTGCGCCCTCTTGCTATACGTTAGCACGTTCCCTCCCCGTCGGTAAGACCATCGTTTGCAGCATTTGCAGCCCTTTTCCATTCCCTCCCTTACTTCTGAGGTGATAACGCACAAAGGTTTTACTTTAGGACCATGCCCACATATGGTTAGAAGTTAACAAGAAGGCCTTGGACACGAACAAATATTGTAACAAGGGTGTTGCGCCGGGACTGCACCTCACCCCTTCAACTTGTCTTATCGTTAAGCAGAGAAGGGTGGCCTTATAAAGACAACCTTGAAAATAGATTTGGTCTTTTCAAGCGCGCCCTTCTGCTTTGATAAAGCTATCGAGCTGGCTCATGCTCATGCAACGACGAAGTACCTGTTTATTTTTGTGTGGTTGTCTGCTTGTGAAACAAGAAAGAGCTAGGATAGCGACCTGAATTTGTTATGGTGACAGACAACAGGTCGTTCGCATGTGCCAGCTGGATAGCCTTTTCATTACGGAAAGAGCGCTCTAAAATCCCAAGTCTCGGATCAAGGGAGATTAAAAACTTCGAACGAAAGAAAAGTACCTTTTTCCGGGTAAACGCGGCCCTAATCCCCCAGCACAGCGCCACGGCCAGGCCGCGGCCCACGGGCCAATCCGGGCCAGACTAGGGGCCAAGTTCCATAGTTTAGCTAAACATCCTTCATTGAAATCGGGGCCAAAGTTCCAGTTCTGCAAAGCGCGAGGCGAGTCCCCTCCGCCCCCTGCTCTGCCCCCTTTCCCGTTTACTCCCCATCCACGCTCCTGGCCGGACTCTCGCATTTTCTTTGAGGAAAAGTTGTTAGCGCCCTCCTGGCCACCGCGGTTGTAGTCGCGGATCCACAACAAAATATCCCGCATGGAAAATGTACAAAAGGAAATGACTTATAAAGTGAAAAACAAGTATAGACTTCTGAGTTACTTTTGTTCAGAAAATGTGTCTACTCGGAAGTTTTCTAGAGGGTATATTTCTATACGGATGTATCTTTGAACGCGCCTAATGTTGCAGGATTGCAAACTCGCTATCGCTGCAGGGGCCGTAACGCCTTTCGGACGAAGGGAGTAGGCAGGCAACCCGAAACATGCCATCACGCAAACCTATAGGGCACCTAGTGGGCACCTAAACTGTCGACCGGTGTCGACAAAAGTGTTACCAATGAAATTCCATTGATTGAAGGGAAAAATTCTAATGGGGTAAACAAGAATTTCTGAAAGTGTCATCGTACCGTTTATTGCAAATCTCCATTGATCAATCGCGTAAATGCAATGGAATGGAACTAATTTATCGGTGAAGTGGCATCTGATCAGCGCACTGTTGCTGCTGCTGTTACAGGTCAGGCTGCCTTACCCCGGGGTCGCTGTCAGCCCACACCCGCCCGTCTCTGTCTGTTATTTCCTTGTTCACTCTGAAAACTCAACAGCATGCATTGCATGCGTTATATAAAGCATGCATGGTATGCATGCTGTATTTAACGCATGCATTGAGATGCATGCTGTTTTTAACGCATGCATGGAGATGCATGCTGTATTTAATGCATGCATTGAGATGCATGCTGTTGCTCCAACTCGTTTTTGTGGAATATTTACTAAGTGAGC